CCCCCCCCCCACTGTGTTCTGTCCTCTCCCTTCATCTTGAGCATGCCTGTGAGGGAGCAGTAATCAGAATTTTCTTTGAAGTTAAAACAACATACCCGATAGGGAGCTCAGCTGCCAGCCCAGCCTTATTATAGCACAACTGAGCTATCTTCATTTAGCTGGCCCACCTGCATCTACACTAATGGAGGTGTACTCAGGCAAGTCCGACCAGACTGGACTGACAGGACTATCAGTCATACTCTTTTGAGGTTCCTTTTAAAGTGTTTTTGAGCTGGCTCATCAGCTGGATTCACATGTTATTCACTAATTAAGAACATTTAGATGTTTGCATACTTGGATGCTGAATTGTTGTCAGCGGGTTTTCTGCACTGTGAAAGCTCATGCTGGCTGTAACAGCACTAGAATTCATCAAACCCTCAGACATGAGAGTATGATTTGAAGAAAAAATGTTTTTTCTGTTGCTGAAAGCCAATCAAAAACAATTATTAACAAAATGTTATACTTTGGCTCTTTGGTTAAACTTAGACAAGACAAGAAGTTTGACATCCATCTATATAAACCTACAATCAGCAGGTGGTTGATGGAAAAGAGAAAAAGCCACTAACTTAAAGCATGCTGCTTTTAAAGTTAATGTTTGTTAATGTGAATGCAATTCATATCTAACGTAAATCTTTAGATGAGTAATGCAGACCCACCCAGGATGGCCACCACAACGTCATCCTTTAGGATTTCAATGGAGCCACGGGAAACAAAGTAGAGTGCTGTAAGTACATCTCCACTGTGGACTAGCGTGTCTCCAGGGGGCGCATGGGTCGTCTTAAACCTCATGGCCAAGGCCCGAAGGCAGCCCTTGGTGGCTCCGCGAAATGCTTTACAGCCCTGGAGGAGATTCTTGTTGAGGTGGAGGCAGATATCCGCCTGTAGGCACTCTGGAAAACCCTTCAGGACCTGAGTCAAAGCACACATGTGTATGGTCAGACGTATTGAGGTAGTATATTATGTAAGCTGTGATGGTTCTTTTTTCTTATATTTTATGACTTTGGGTTTGGGGTGAAGCAGTAGGTCGAATTGACTTGACTTCCAGAGAAATTTAATACAGTTGCCACTTGTGCTCTTTCCTTCTTCTCAAAACCCTGCAGTAGAAATAGTCTGCAATGTCTTTTTACTGTTTTAGTGAGCCTCTGAGGAGCTTAAAATAAGAGGTAAACAGAACATTTAGAGACTGTAAAGCTGTAGATAAATGAAATCACAAAGTCAAAACACAGATTTGACATTTGAGTCTTCTGTCTGTTTCTTTATGTACTCACATAATGAGAATCCTCTAAGAATCCTAACCTCAGTAACGCTCATTAATTTTTTTCCAATACTCTGACCCTTTGTTTGTT